CACACACACACACACACACACACCCACAGACAGAGAGACAAGGGAGTGGGGATGCAGAGAGAGAGACTGAAGGAGAGGTGGAGATCATGACAGTACTCCCCCTCTAATGAAAGTCTCCAGGTGACACACCCTGTTTCTCTGGATGTTTCTGATGATAAAAATCAAGGTGACTGTGTGTGTTTGCAGAATAAGCTCCACCACATTAGATATCTAATGTTATGTAATGCTGTTTTGCCTGCCAACCTATTTTGCTTGACTGTACGTGAGTAACTTCAGTATAAAACTGCACATGGATTCAGCTTAACCAACAGGCCCTTAACTTCTGAGTCAAGTGCTGCGTAAATGACAGACTCTTTATGGCCCAGTCTATGAGGGATGGCAGCATGACAGAGACAGAGGATGCACTGATGGCTGCTACAACTGTTGAACATTTAGTCATTGGGCCAAAGACTGTCCACATCCAATACCAAGCGAAGGTCCAGACTGACTAGTGGTGGAGTCAGGGACAAGCAGCAATCAATTCACACACACAGACACTAATGCCAGACTCTGTACTTCACTGTATAGCCCACATTTCATCAGGGCCAGATTCTGCATTTGAGTTACTGTGGTTTAGAGAAGAGCAAGGAAGTGATGACAGATTTTATTAATTGGTGTAATGATATGTGTCTTAAAAGAGTAATACTGCCAGATGAATTGCAAACGACATTTTCAAGCTTCATGAGATCGGTCAGCATATTTTACGAGGTAAAGCTCAACATGTTGAGTGGTGGGTCCTGGGATCGTGGATCAGGTGATCTAGAGAAGACCAACATTGGCAAAAAACATAGTTAACAGGAGTTTTGATGCGTAAAGAGCTATACATCTTTTGTCCGAATTAAACATTAACATCTTTGTGCAGTCATGTCTTACTCCAGATTCACTGGAGTCTATAGACATTACAAATACTGGGTAAAAAGTAAATATGATGTGGGATTTGCATGGAGCAATATCCAGTGAAGCCGGTAGCAGTGCAAGAAATAACAAGTGTTTGAGTCACTGTTAAGAGCTAAAATTATTATTCCATGTGAAACATCGCCAGGCCTGCAGACAGTATATTCAGCAGGTACTTGCTGGAGTACCAATGTCAATTTCGATTTTATCGAATAGCACATTGAGAACAACTTGGTTGACCAAAGTGCTTCACAATGTAAAAGGTACAATACGAAAATCTAAACACACAACACATACAAATGCCAGTTCATTAAGAGTTTTAAAAGTTAACAATAACATTTTAAAATCGATCCTGTGACAAACAGGAAGCCACTGGAGGGAGCGCAACACTTCTTTCCTGTCAGGAGGTGAGCAGCAGCATTTTGGATGAGCTGCAGGCATTGAATAGATGACTGGTCTAAGCCCACATACAGAAAATTATAGTAGTCAAGTCAAGAAGTTATGAAGGCCACGATGACCCTCTCTAGATCTTTAAGAGGGAGATAAGCCTTTACCTTAGCTATAAGTCTGAACTGAAAGAAGCTCACAACGAAGGAAATCTGCTTGTCAAATTTAAAAACCCTGTCACCCAGACTCTTCACAGTGGAGTGGAATAATGATAGACCGATATGGTTTTTTCAGGGCCGATACCATTACTGATTATTAGCAGTTAGGAGGCCGATAACCGATATTTGGAGCCGATATTCACTTGCAGTAACACTTTCCAACACTTAAATTTGTTTAAATGCCTTTAAGCATATGTTTATTAAACAGATTTTCAGAACAGAACATGTTAAAGGTTTTTTTTCTTAGAATTTTAAAACAAAGATGTCTTTTGTCTAACAAAAAGTGCAGGGAGTTCCAAGGCTCAGCAGCATGTCCAATAAAGTGAAATGAAAACTTAAACTAATAAATAGCTCCCTGAAGTTTTCAAATGTAAATAAAGTTTACAGTTGAAACAAAAAAAAAGTGCAGGGAGTTCCAAGGCTCAGCAGCATCTCTTATAAAGTGAAAGGAAAATTGAAAACTTAAACAAATAATAAATAGCTTCCTGATGTTTTATAA